TCAACAGAAAAAAAAAAAGCTGGGCATGGGGTTCATACCTGTAATCCCAGAAAACTGAGAATCATGAGCCCAAGTAATAATAGAAAAAACAGAGATTAGTTAATAAATAACATAATTTCTTGAAGGAGAGAAAGATCATTAAAGTCAAATTGCATCAAGTAAAATGATAGTTAGGTCATCTATTTTGTATTACAGGAAGAGTACTGGAAATTTCACTGAAAGAAGCTTTACCAGAGTGGTAGGGGAAGAAGAAAATAACATTTGAGAGTTTTCTTGGAAGGAGATATAGATATATAGATATATGTGTGTGTGTCTCTGTGCGTGTTTGTGTGTGTGTGTATATATATATATATATATATATATATACACATATATATAGTCCCACCGAAAACACTGTAAGTTAATGGAAGAAAATAATTAGAAGAGTTTGAAATAGAGAACAGTTTATTTCTATTTCTTTGGTTGGTTGGTGCTAGGTATTATACTCAGGGCCTCACACTGCAAAGCACACACTGTACCACTGAGCTGTACCCTCAGTCCTCTATATTTTCCTCATATGATACACTTGAGTATATATTTAAGCTGTGGGTGAGAGAGAATGGAATATCAGAAACTGAAAATGGAATAGATCAGGTTTGTCTGACTGACAAGCTCTCAGAAAATCCTGGAAGGTAACAGAGTTGATAGCACCATTGGAAAACTGACTTCTAGTGAGTTGATAATATCACAAGTATAAACTAGTATGGAAAATAAAAGGCACAGAAATGTATGCCTAATAACCTCTTTTCCCGCTTTTAAATAGGAAGAAGTGATATTTCTGACAATAAGGATGAAGAATTTAAAGATGTCAATCAATTGCAATCAATACTACTAATATGCAAAATGGAAGTTAAGTATTTACAATAGATTCACCCCTTGTCAATTTGGCAGAAAAAGATTATCTGTTGATTTCACCTCTTCAGAGCATTCTCTTTGCCCTTCCCCAGAGGTGGTCAAACTCCGGATGCCAGAACTGAGGCTAATGAGTTACATTGGGAGAACACTCTTGGGGTTACTAAAAATAAACACATCCTCGGCCATCTCAGTCCCTAAAGCATGTGCCTTGATTTTGGTGGCTTGTAAAAATATTCATGAGATATAACATTAGCCCTTTCATTCATATGCAGACGCCATAGAATCCACTGAGCCCAATTTCTGTTAAGTTACAGGCTCAATTATCTACCCCAACTTGTACTCCGCGTATGCATCAAAACTCTGAAAAAAAAAAATGGGTGGACAATCTTCCTGAGCAAACTCTAGGGGTGATGCAAGGTTTCCCAGCAGTAATTTTAAAACAAATTGGTTTGCATTTTAACAGCCTGAATGAATAGTAATTTTCACTTTCCTTGCCTTTGATAATCATTTGTTTTCAAGGATTTCTCTGTCAAATGATGGCATATTTAAAGCACACTTTTAATATATGGGATTTATATTTATCATATGGGTTTTGTTCTACCTACTTCATACCCTACCACTTTTTCCAGCTTTTCAACCAAACCCAACATTTGGTAATCACTGAATGTACCATATTTGGGGAACATCATTTGTGTGATTTTTATTTGCTCAATATTAACTTGCCAATCCAGGTGAAATCTTCTATTTTCCTAGATCATCTATCTTGCTTCTTCCTGAAGATGCTGAGTGTCTATAATCTTTATTCTTTTACAGAAAATGCCATGTTCTTGGTCCAATGCCCACTTACTTGTTCCTTGGGCTGCTAAAGATTGTTCTTTCATTTCTGATTCCTTACACTATAAAAGGTAGTGGTGCTATCCTGAGAATCGATGTCAGTGCATGAGTTTACTATGAGAGTAAATTCTGAACTAGAAGAGAAATCTCAAGTCTAAAATAGGTAAATACCACTGCACTAGAGAAGTGAAAGCATGTTCTTCCTTTTCCATCCAACCCTAATGTCAGGTGTTAATTTTTCAAGTGTGCAATCTGTATTATAATTTAAAGTTTTAATATGTAACAAAGATATATTTAGGAGAAAATCTTTAAATGGATATTCATGTCAAGTTAGTATTAGCTTTGACTATTACTGTAGACTGCTACTATGCACATACCAGTAGAAATTAAAGTAATAGCAGCATTAACAAAAACACTATTTACAGTAATCTTGACCTCAGTTTACCTCATTTACAAACTTAGAAAAAGATAGAACTAATAACCTTCATCTTAGGCTTACGACTAAGCAGCAGTTGTTTATAATAAAAAATCATTGCAATTTGGCAAGCATGATTAAATTACACTATTTTTATAGACTAAAGTCCTCCCTCCCCATGCCGAGAAGATAGGTTGAAATCCTAAACTCTGCTACTTGTGAATAACATCTCATTTGAATATAAGATCTTTGTATCTATAATCAAGTTAATATGAAGTTATAATGAACTTGAGTGAGCCTTAATCCAATATGACTGTTATCCTTATATGTAGAAGAAGCCAATCTGTAAGAGGAGAATTCCAACAAACCACCAGAAGTACCAGAGATGCAAGGAAGGATTCTCTTCTACAGGTTTCAGAGGCAGCATGGTCCTACTCACACCTTGATTTGGGGCTTCTATCCTCCAGAAATGTGAGACAATAAAATTATGCTGTCTTAATTCCTCCAGTTTGTTGTAGGCAGCCCTAGGAAACTAATATAATCATATAGAAATTTTTATTACAATAGCCTATACTAACTTAATCTTACATTTGGGATCGTAATGAATTATACATGTCTTGTTAAAGTGAATGCTTTTCTTGATTCAGATTAGCTTCTATGCATTGCTGAGAAGAAAAAAATAATTTAAAAGCATGTCCTAGACTAAGTTAATGAGGCATTACATGGCCTTTGAGAAAAAGTAGACACTGCTAAAACATTGTAAGAGATTACAACTTCTCATGGTGGACTGGAGAAGCTTGTTTTTCATAATCCTTAAAGCACAAGGATAGAGAGAAAAAGCAAAGGTAAGCACCAACCACATTTGAAAAAAACAAATGTAAACATTCATGCCATGTGGCATGGAGCTCTTGAAACAAGGCCTGATAATTGGAAAGATAAATTACAAAGCATGTTCATTCACTAAAGAATGTACAAGACTTAAGAGTACTTATTCAAGATATGACATTACATCTGTTGGAACATAAACTTGCCCAGGTTTCAGTAAAGAATTAAAGGGTTTTTTTTTTTATCTCTTTCATCAGTAGAGAAAAGACTAGGTAGTAGGAATGCTTTACAGACTTCAGAATCTCAAGGCTTATTAATGCCAGAATTGTACTTAGAATACCAATATTTTAACTCCCATTTTAATGCATTTTAGAATTTATTCCAAGTTAATTATACTCTTTGGCATGACAGTAACTACCACCAAAGCAATCACTGAAAGAATTTAGGAGTATAAGAGATTAGGGACACAAGAAAACACGAAAGGCAGAAGAGACAAAGTTTCCTCTTGATTGCTATTAAATTTTGTTCTTAAAAAAAATGATGTTTACAAAAGATTAACAGTCCTAATGGATCCATACAACACATCATTTTAAAAACATAAAGATGGAACATGTATGGCTGCTTATTACCATGTATCTTTAATGTATGTGAGGAAATTGAAATTAAAGTGCATCTTTCCAAGAAGACCAAGATTTTTAGGTAGCTACACTTTCTCTTATACGAGAGATAATACAACTATTTAATAACTATTGTACAAGATTTTGTTTAGTTTATCCCCTGAACAGCATCAAATTCTACAATCCCTAAATTTATTGTCCACAGTGCATGACAATTTTTAAGCTTCTCCTATCTTTTATTTATCCAACAAATATTTTGACAAGTGTCTATATGCCAGACTCCTTTTCAGACAATGGTGTTAAGATATTACTCTTTGGGCTGAGATAAGCTCAGGGACATGCTTAGTATGTGTGGGGTCCTAATTTTCATTCCCTGACCCTCCGTAATGACAACAATAATGACTTATTCTCATTCAGGTATTATTTACTATTAAACTTTCATCATAGGAGATGTGTGAGACAGAGAGAGGATTTCAGTCCTAAGGACTTTAATAGAAAAAGAATCAAGGATTTTTCGTATTTTAGGAAAGACAGAAAGAAAACTTGAAAAATATGAATTGTTTCATTACACTGAAGAAATTAAACAGTGATAAAAGGGGAGAAACGGAAAAATTAAATATTGATCCGGTAGTTCTCTAGGTTTTTACTTAAAAATGGTAGCAATGATGATTACTCAGTATTGGTGCTCCTGAAATATGAGGTTTGAAGACAGTGAACTCTAAATCATTTCTAGAAGAAGCTTTCCCACCATGAAATGATTCTAGAAACAGTACCAAAATATTTAATTGTTTTTTGCATTAAAACATATACTCTGCTTCACATAAAATTGGCAAATGGTGAGTTCACCTTTCTATGCAGCTCCAAAAAATAATCTTTTTTCTCTGCATAAAACAGAAATAGGAGAGCCAATCTGAAATATTTCAATGCTTTGAGAGAAAACCAGTATGAGAAATCAGGGGAGTAACAAATTTGTAACTTATTTAAGAAAATTGAAATTTTTTTTACAGAAACAAGGCATCTTTCACTTTGTACAATCATAAAAAGGCAGTGTCCCTAGCAGTAGTGAAGTCAGGTTGTGAAGTCAGTTTAAATCTTATCTGTGCAATTAATTATGTGACTCACCTCAAGAAAATTAGCAAATCTCTTTAACACTCCGTGCCCTATGTATTCAACAAAGGTAATGATAATACCAATCATGTAGCGTTATTGTGAGAAAAACACAGACAGTTCTATGCCATCAAAGACACTCCGTACATAGCATCTGTTTATCAACCCCTCTCTTCCAACAAAAAAAGAAACCATGAAATCACCTCAGTTTCCCAGTTGTACCCAGGTTAGGAAAAAGAACATGGAGTAAAGAATGCAAGATTTAAAAAAAAAAAAAAGGTTCTCTTGATTCAACAGGTAAGAGTACAATGGAAAGAGACAATGACAGCACCTTCTCTGGATTCATCCTCCTGGGCTTCTCCAACAGGCCTCAGCTGGAAACAGCTCTCTTTGGGGTCATCCTGGTCATATACTTTTTGAGCATTCTAGGCAATGGCACCATTATTTTTTTGTCAGTTGTGGATCCTCACCTCCATACCCAAATGTATTTCTTCCTGTCCAATCTCTCTTTTATGGATCTTTGTGTGACTACTTGTACTGTCCCTCAGACACTGGTCAACCTCAATGGAAAGGATAAGACCATCACCTATGGTGGCTGTGTGACCCAGCTACTCATTGACTTGGGACTTGGGGGAATGGAGTGTGTCCTCCTGACGGTGATGGCCTATGACCGCTATGCAGCTGTCTGCTGCCCACTCCACTACATGGTGATCATGCATCCACAACTTTGCTTACAGCTGGTTATAACTGCTTGGATTACAGGCTTTGGCAATTCTGTGGTACATACAGCATTGACCATGACTCTTCCCTTCTGTGGAAGAAACCAGTTGGACCATTTCTTCTGTGAAGTCCCAGCCATAATGAAACTGGCCTGCACCGACATCTCCATCAACAAGGCTGAAGTCTTTGCTGTCAGTGTCTTCTTCTTGGTAGTGCCCCTCTCACTCATCTTAGTGTCCTATGGGCACATTACTCTTTCAATCCTGAAGATAAAATCTGCCCAGGGCAGGAGGAAGGCTTTTGGAACCTGCAGTTCCCATCTTCTTGTAGTGATCATTTTCTTCAGTGCTCTCATCTCCATGTACCTCCAGTCTCCATCCAGTTATTCACAGGACATGAACAAAAGCATTTCATTCTTTTATACACTGGTGACTCCTCTGTTAAATCCCTTGATTTACACTCTGAGAAATAAAGAAGTGAAAGATGCACTAAGGAGAATATTCAGGAGGATCATGTACTCAAGAAAGAGTTAATGCAAAGCTTACAGGCTCAAACACTGTGGAATGAAAGACAGCATTCTGTGGCAGCAATAAACTAGTTTGAACTTAACATAAATCTTCATAAAGCATCTACTATATAGACCCTGTTCTACTTACTAGATAGATAGATAATCAGAGATAAAACAGAGAGAACCCCCTATCCTCATAGAACTAAACCTTCTTATGGGGAGATTATAAGATAAGCTAAAAATAAATTATGGCATATCATGCATTATAATGCTATAAAAGAATAAACAGATTATAAGTACATACAACACACATAATTTTCACAAATGCAATTTACTGGACAATTCTTATGGCAAAAAATGTAGTGGTAACTATCACATGAAAATTTTACTGAATATTTCAATTTTTATGAATTGACTGCACTATGGCTGGAAAAGATACATAGCATGTGAGTGTTTGTATGTCTGTGTATTTGTAAATAAGTGTGTTTAACAAAAATCTTTAATTCAGTAAAAATAAAAAAATTTTTCATTAGCTAATGATTTCAAGGTATTTAAATATCTATATAAATACAGTGGCAGGTATTGAAGCAGTTTTACAAAAAAGTAACAAACAAATTATTATCTGATAAACTCACTTTGTTTAAATATGTTCTTAAACATTTATTTTGGAATGGTTTGAAGATTTGTTTATACCTGATATTAATGAAATGATACAGGAACAAAGAATTCTTCACATAAATGAAATATATTCATGAAATTTGATCTTGTAATGAATAACTCTGAGCAAGTTTTTATTATTTTTGTAGTACAATGCAGAAGCTATGGGTTTTTTGAGTGACAAGTTCTTGGCCTTTTCTTTACATCCATAACTGCTAATTTCATTAATAACCATATTAGTCTTATGACACAAAGGTTTTATGTAATAGTTCCCCTTGTCCATAGGGAGAGTAACTTCTAAGACCCCCTGGATGCCTAAAACTACAACGAGCACCAAACCCTATATATAGAGCTGAAGTCACAAGGTTGTAATTTGGAGCAGAAAACACAATCTTGACATTTTCATTTTCATAGTAGATTCAGAATGACCAGGTGCATTGTTTACTATTAATAGGACTTTAAATTCCATCCCTTTCTTTTCCACCTATTTTTTTCACTTCTGGGATGAAGTGTTGGTAGAACCATTCCATAAGCAAGATGGCGATCATCTACACTTTCTGATTATGTTACCAGAACACAAGTTAATAGCTTTTATTTTTGAGAGTCCAATTTATTAGAATGGTTATAAAACATTTTTTAAAACTTGAAACAAGATTATGGATTTTTTTCTCTCAAAGTAAGTATGATGATCAGCTCACTTATTTTCATTGGATTTATCTTTACTTGAGTACACAAAGCAAAACATCTCTCACTTGGGACATGCTTCAGTCCTAAACATCAAGTGCAAACTTAAAAATTAAACTCTCTTTTTCCAAACTAAAATACATTTTGCTTCAGAGCAATAGGCGATTGCTAATTGGCCATATACGCTAACTCAGAGAATGTCATTTAGATTTGGAGCATCTTCATTTTTATTAGGTACACAGCATAGACAGAATTGTTATTAACCTACATCCTACAACAAGTGAATTCTCATATATCAATAACTTCTAGGTATATTTAAAATAAACAACTTAGACACATAAGCTTTCTCCTCATAAAATTGTTAGATCAGAACTTTTCAGTTATCACCTTTCTAATTAAATCCCATCATAATATTTAAAAGGAGGTCTAGTAAAAGTCACTGTTCCTCTCAGTGTCCAGAGGAGAGAGGTATTTCACTTATCATTAACTCTTTCCTTCCTAGTATGCTCTTATCACTAGAAGTATTTACTGATAAAATCATGTTGGAAAATACTTGGGCATTATTTAGTAATGCTGACCCCATTGCATTCCTAAGCCCATACATTCCCTAGGTGCTTTTTGACACACCAGCAGACATGTATAAGAGCACTATTAGCAGCATTATTTTTATTCCTTAAAAACTGGAAATATCCCAAAAGCCCATCAACATTAAAATGGGTAAATTATGGCACATTCATACAAGAGAGAACTGTATAAAAACAAATACAAACTACAGCTACAGAAATGAGAACAGATGTCCTCACACAAAAATGAGAAAAAAAAGATAGTTTTCTACATAAAGTTCAAAAAAAGCTATCACCATGAATATTTTTAATAAATGCAAACATGATGGCAAAATTATAGGCAAAACTAAAAATAATATGTAAAGGCTATCTGGGTGCCAGTGACTCATACTGCAATCCTAGCTACTTGGGAGGCTGAGATCAGAAGAATAGCACTTTGAGGCCAGCTCAGGAAAAAGTTTCATGACACTCCACCTAAACAGAAAAAAAAAAAAAAAAAGCTGGGCATGTTGGTGCACACCTGTCATCACAGAAGACTGAGAATAAAGAGTCTGAGAAATAATAGGTAAAAAAGAGATCAGTTAATAACATAACTTCTTCAAGGAGAGAAAGATCATCAATGTCAAATTGCATCAAATAAAATGATAGCTCATCTACTTTGTATGACAGGAAGAGTACTGGAAATTCCACTGAAAGAAGCTTTAACAGAGTGATAAGAATAGAAGCAAATAACATTTGAAATTTTGTTGGAAGAAGATATGTATGTGTATAAATAAATGCATATGTGTATATAAAAAAAGATTGTAAGTTAATGGAAGAAGAGAGCTAGAAGAGATTGAAATGGAAGAAAGTTTAATTCTATTTTTTTGATTGGTTGGTATTAGAGATTGAACCCATGCCTCAGACACACAAAGCATACACTGTATCACTGAGTTGTACCCTCAGCGCTCTATATTATTTCTGAAAGAATACACATAGCATATTTTTAAGCTATGGGTGAGAGATAATGAACTATCAGAAAGTGAAGGTGTCTGATAAGATGACTGACAAGCTTTCAGAAAACACTAAAGAAAACAGAGTTCCTAGCACCATTGAAAAACTGACTTCTAGTGAGTTGATAATATCACAAGTATAAACTAGTATGGAAAATAAAAGGCACAGAAATGTATGCCTAATAACCTCTTTTCCTGCTTTTAAATAGGAAGAAGTGATATTTCTGACAATAAGGATAAAGAATTTAAAGATTGACCTACAATTGCAATCAATACTACTAATATGCAAAATGGAAGTTAAGTATTTACAATAGATTCACCTCTCATCAATTTGAAAGAAAAAGATTAACTGTTGATTTCACCTCTTCAGAGCACTTCTCTTTGCCCTTCCCCAGAGGTGGTCAAATGGTGGATACCAAAACTGAGGCTAATGAGTTACATTGGGCAGAACACTCTTGGGGTTGCTAAAAATAAACACATCCTCGGCCATCTCAGTCCCTAAAGCAGGTGCATTGATTTTGGTGGCTTGTAAAAATATTCGTGAGATATGACATTAGCCCTTTCATTCATATGCAGATGCCATAGAATACACAGATCCCAATTTCTGTTTAGTTATAGGCTCAGTTATCTATCCCCACTTGCACTCCTCTTAGGAATCAAAACCATAAACAATGTGAGGACAATCTTTCTGGAAAACTCTAGGGGTGACGCAAGGTTTGCCAGCAGTAATTTTGAAATGAATTGGTTTACCTTTAGCAGCCTGAATGAAAAGTAATTTTCACTTTCCTTGCCTTTGATAATTATTCGTTTTCAAGGATTTCTATGTCAAAGGATGGTGTATTTAAATTGTAAATTTAATATATGAGATTTATATTTATTCTATAGGTTCTGTTCTACCTACCTCATTCCCTGCTCCCTTTCCCCAATTCTTCTACCAAATGCAACAATTGGTAATCACTGACTGTACTGTATTTGAGGACCAACATTCTTGTGGTTTTTACTCAATAATAACTTGCCAATCAAGGTGAAATCTATTTTCCTAGATTATCTACCTTGCTTCTTCCTAAAGATAGCTGAATGTGTATAATTTTTGTTATTCTTCTGTGGAAGCTGCATGTTCTTGGTTCAATACCCATTCAATTGTTCCCTGGGCGTACTAAGATTGTTCTTTAACTTCTCCTTCCTTAGACTATAAAAGATAATGGTGCTATCCTGAGAACTGATACATGAGTTTACTATGAGAGTAAGTTCTGAACTAGAAGAGGAATCTCAAGTCTAGAATATGTAAATACCACTGCACTAGAGAAGTGAAAGCATGTTCTTCCTTTCCATTCAGCCCTAATGTCAGGTGTTAAGTTTTCAAGTGTGCAATCTGTATTGATGATTTAAATCTTTAATGCGTAACAAATATGTATTCAGGAGAAAATCTTTAAATGGATATTCCTGTCAAGTTTGTATGAGATTTCCTATTACTGTAGAATGATGCTGTGCACTCACTGGTCAAAATAAAAGTAATAGCATCATTATAATAATATTAACAATTATGATGTCCTCAATTTACCTCATATACAAAGCTAGAATAGGATAGAAGTAACATGGGCTTACCACTATACAGCAGGTGTTTATCTTGAAGAATCATTACAACTTAGAAAGCATGATTAAATTACACTGTTTTTAAGGCTGAACCACCCCCACAGAAGATTTATTGAAATCCTAAACTCTGCTATTTGTAATGACATCTTATTTGAAAATAAAGTCTTCGCATATATAATCAAGTTAAGATGAGGTTATAATAAGTTTCAGTGGGCCTTAATCCAATGTGATTCTTATCCTTTTAAGTAGAAGAAGCCAACACACAAGAGGAGAATTCCAACAAATCACCAGAAGTACCAGAAAATACAAGGAAGGATTCTCCTCCACATGTTACAGAAGCAGCATGGTACTGCTCACACCTTGATATGGGACTTCTATCCTCGAGAGTTATAAAACAATAAATTCCTGATCTCTTAAGTCCTCCACTTTGTTGTAGGCAGTATTAGGAAACTAATATAATATAATATTAGAAATTTTTGTTTGAATAGCCTATATTAATTTTACTTTTGTGCTTATAATGAATTATACATGTCTTG